CTTCATCCCTACAGGTGGTGAACGGGCTGATGGAGCGTCCTGACTGGAAGGAGGCCATGAAGAAGCCACTGTGCATCCTGCCAGGAGGCTCTGGGAATGCCCTGGCTGCCTCTATCAACTACTATGCAGGGTGAGTCCCAGCCCTGTGGGGCACCCACTGCCCCCCTGCAGGGCTGCACTGGAACCAGGCGGGGATGAGGAAAGAGAAAGACTGTGTGGGGCTCCACCCCGGGGAAGGGTGCTGGGATGCTAATGGGTGCCTGGCAGGGTCCTCACTCCCCACAGGCTGGTGCAGCACAGCCCCAGCTGTGAGCAAGGGATTAATCCCTGTGTATCTTACTTCCCCCACTCCCTTTTTCTGGGCTCAGAGACTGGGAAAACATTAACCCAAAGGACCCACCCCAGGCACAGCCAATCCCACGATGTGGAGGACCAGGATTGCCTGATTCAGTTCCCTCTTTCAGGAACTGGTTTTTATCCCTCCCATCCCCAACAAAACTACTCCCAGCAGCTGTTCCTGAGGGACACTGTCACCCAGCTGGGACATGCCCCAACCATGATGCAAGGGTGGGGTCTGCACGTAGATGCCGGGGCAGCAGGAGGGGTCCTGAGCTCCAAACTCACCCTCTCCATCCCTCACAGCTACGACCACGTCGCCAAGAAAAAGCTGCTGACGAACTGCACCTTCATCCTGTGCAAGGGGCTGTACACGCAGATGGACCTGGTGTCTCTGAGCACGGCCTCGGGCAAGCGCTTCTTCTCCTTCCTGGGCTTTGGCTGGGGCTTCATCTCGGACGTGGACATCGACAGCGAGAAGTACCGCTGGCTGGGCAACGCCCGCTTCACCCTGGGCACCCTGCAGTGCCTGGCCAAGCTCAGGGTGTACCAGGGCCGCCTGTCCTACCTGCCCATGGCCACGGAGCAGGGCAGCTCCCCGGCCCCCCGGGACCCCCGCGCTCCCGTCACCAATGGCCACATCCCGCAGCCGGCGGGGACGGACGCACCCGGCTCGCTGCCCCCCGACTCGCTGCTGGTGCCGCTGGGCCAGCCCGTGCCGGCGCACTGGACCGTGGTCCCCGAGGAGGAGTTTGTCCTGGTCTATGCCATCTACCAGTCCCACCTGGGCACCAACCTGCTGATGGCACCGGCGGCCCGGCTGCACGACGGCTGCATCCACCTCTTTTACATGAAGGCCGGCATCAGCCGCTTGACGCTGCTGAAGCTCTTCCTGGCCATGTCCAGGGGGACCCACCTGGACTTGAACTGTCCCCACCTGTGCTACGTCCCCGTCCGGGCGTTCCGTCTGGAGCCGCGGGTGGCCGCGGGCATCATGACAGTGGATGGGGAGGCGCTGGCCTGCGAGCCCGTGCAGGGCCAGGTCCATCCCCGCCTCTGCCGCGTCCTCAGCGGCTCCTGAGCTCCCCGTTCGCCCTCCCTGCAGCGCTGAGCTGCCGGCACGGCCCGGCGCGAGGGTGGCAGAGCCTTTCTCCCACTCAGGAACCCCCTCCTTCCATAGCAATAGGTCTTGGGGGGGGGCGTGGGGCTCATCCCCTCGCTTGCCCCCACGCTTAGCTTTACCCCCTTGGGACAGCCAGTGCTGTTCCAAATATGAGCCACAAGCCCCATCAGGTACTCGGTGCCGGCGAGATGCCAGCGTTGTTTTATCCTGGTACGAGGTCCCGGCCCCCAGGCGGCTGCGCCGGCACAGCCCCGTCCCCTCCCCGGCTCGGACGCACACGGTGGCATTGCTGTGTCCCCGCCCTGGAGCCAGTGCCACCCCCCCAGGGAGGGTCAGGACCAATAGATCTAATACAATAAACCGACTTTTTAAAGAATGTTTCTACCCAAAGCTTCCTGTAGAAGCGGAGTTTATTCTTGTGAGAAATGCAAAATAAATATCTAGCGTTTGCAAAAAAAAAAAAAAAAAAAAAAAAATCCTTCCTAGGTTTTGAATCCGAGCTCACGGCTGCTGTCACGGGCTGGGCTCACCCACGGCCCGGCTACGCGGACAGCAGGACAAGGTTTAGCTCAGCACCGCAGCCCTTTGCTCCCTGATATCCCGGGGCCGGGAGCAGCACGGAGCGAGGGGCCCCGGAGATGCTGAGGTTGCAGGACAGGGAGCATTGCTGCCACCACCCACTCCCATTTTTGGGGTGCAGCGATGCCTCCCTGCTCAGCCTCGTGCTGGGGCTGATCATATCCAGGGAGCTCAACCCTGCAGTGACACTTGGGGACATCCTGGGGAAAGTTGGGTGCCTCTGAGCGATAGCAGGGAAGGCAAGGAGGGGTCGTTGGAGCTCCCGGGTTTGGCTTTCTGCCTGCACAAGGGGCCCTTTGAGGGGGCTCTTGCATCCCTTTTCTTGGGCTGCCCGGGGCCAGCTGGAGCCCTGCTACAGGTCCCTGCCCTGGGGTTTGCTTGGGGGGGATTACTCAGCCTCTTTGGTATAAAATTGCAGTAATTAAACCTCATTTTCAGCGCTCAAGTACAAAGCAGAAGAATAAACAGTGGTGGCTGTTTGCATTTATTCAACTGCAAACTATGCAATTAGGATGGCAGATCAGGGAAAGAAGAGCACGATTGTCCTCCCCCCATGGCCTCACTTGCTGATGGAGAGGAGCCCATGAGCCAGCAGGGCAGGCAGCAGCTGGGAACCACCCCCCAAAATAAAGTTATTTCCCCCGGGGCATCGGGCCAGGTGTAAAAACAGGCTGAGCAATAACTCTCCAACCCTGCTGAGCTGCTGGAGGGAGAGCCCATGGCAGGGGATGCGCTCAGAGCTCTCGCTGTCTCTGTCAGAGGACACGGATCAGCAGAGCGGAGCCTTTCAGGCTCACAGCCCCTGAAAGGCTCCCCGCAGGCTCCTCCCGGGGTCCTGTGTGGCTCTCAGCAGCAGGTTGGCCGGGATCGCCCTTGCCCGCCCTTTCCCTTTTCCTTTCACAGCTCTGCCATCGCCCATCTGCTTCCAAAACCTGCTGGACGGCAGCAAAGGGCTCTTAACGGGGAGCCCCCGGTTCTCCTCCCGCACAGCCCCTCGCTCCCGGGACCGAGGGAGGGGGCAGTGGGTGCTGCGAACAACTCCAGCACACCGAGACACTGCCCGTGGCGTGCACTGGCACCTCGAGCTGCTCCTGCAGGCTGGGGGGGACCAGGGAGGGCTCCCAGGGGGACAAAATCTAAGTCAGGACTCCCGACTCCACATCACTGCTCCAGATTCCAGCAGCACCCGGCAGGTGCAGGATGCCCTTGGCCCCCAGCGGCTCGGACACGGCTGTGTCCAGCCCCATCCATCACACACTTACCTGTGTGCTGAGGTGAGGAGCAGGGCAGGGCAGAGCTCCCAGCAGCCTACCAGGCTGGGGGACTACAAAAGGGTTTTTTTTGCCTGAGTCTGGCCATGATCACTGAAGCTGCCGGGAAGCCGCGCTGGGGCACACACTGAGCCACCCGCATGCACCAGGCACCAGGCACCAGCAAGGACCACAGAAAACAAAAAAAACCCAGCCTGACAGACGCCCCGTGTAAATCAGGGTCTTGGGGAACAGTTTATAGAGAACCACAGAGGCAGCCCCTCCCTGCCTGGACCCCTCCGGACTCTGCTTCAGCCAGCGGGACCCTGTCCAGCCCCGCGGTTGGCGCAGGGATGTGCCGGAGAGAGGCAAGTGCCAGAAGCGTGGCAGGGGGTGCTGGGGGAAAGAAAGAGACAACTCACAGAACTACTCACAGAGGCAAAATTTAATGGCAAGTCATCTTCCCTCCTTTATTACACCTTGGTTAGCCAAACAAAAAAAAATCTGCAGGTAAAAAAAGTTTTAATGGTCACACAGCACTTTATACATATAAGCAACCAAGCATCCACATCTGCACGTGAACGACACACCTCTAAGCATGGCCTCAAATAGTCAGGTTTGTTTTTTTATTCATTAAATACTGTACAGAATCAAGGCTACAAACTGATTTTGTAATGCTTCTTCCCCCTCCCCAGCACTTAAAACAGTTACAGGCTGCTCTCATTTGTACATCACACAGTCGTGTAGCCAGTTTTAAGGCTAACAATATGCATCATGCTTTGGCTTTTTTTGTGTGGTTTTTTTTAAAGGTTTTAGCCTTTTAAATTTTGTTACCCTTAAATATTACATACATACACAAAAAATTACATAGCTGCAGTGTGCTCACCACCAACCTCATCACCCAGGAGCTTCACATTATCAAAAGCTTTAGAAAATTTGTAAACCTCTGTGCACGCTTGGGTTTGGGACAGCTGCAGAGAGCGAGCGGTGCCGGGGGAGCAGTGTCCCCTTCCAGAAGGCCAACATCCACCTCCTCGGAGAGAGCCCAGCCTGTGCAAAAGCTCTTGTGTAGGATCAGAGACTTTTTGGGCAAAGGGGAGGACGTGGTGCCTGCCCAACCCCTGCCCTGTGAGATGAGAGCTGCAGAGTAAAGGAGGGAAAAAGGGAAGCCTACAGCTCCTCCATCCCCAGTGGGTTTCTCCCTCCCTCCGTCCCTGGTCCTGTGGCTCTAGGGGCAGCCACAGCCTGGCTCTGGGGACAGAGGGTGTCAAGTGTCTGGATCACGAACCGTGGTTGTGCCTGGAATCAGCCTCTGTGCCTGTCCTTCCCTGCCCTGGAGCAGTGACCCCAGCCCTCCGAGCCGCTCCCGTGCTCCGCTCAAAGGGATCCATTCACTCCCGTGGCCATGGTTACAGCTCCCAGCACCTCTGCACCCCTAAGCAGCATCTGCCCGACCTCGCACCTGCCAGGCAGGGAGAGCGCCCGGAGCAGGGCTGGAGCTGCTGCACACATAATCCACCCACAGAGCAGTGTCTGGAGAGCTCTGCAGCCCAGGTATTCATCACAGCCAAGCCCTGCATCCTCCGGAGCACCGGGAGAAGGACGTGTCTTCCAAAATCTCAATGCTGGATGGGGACACGAGAAGGGCTTTCTTTGTGCAGTCAGCCCCTGGCTCAGGAGCATCACATGGGGCAGCAGGAAAGCACAGGGAGCTGGGTGGGATGGATTTGGGCTGGTGGGTGCAAAAAGCACCGCACCAATGTGCTGGGACTCCCACTGTTGTGTTTCTCACCACAGCCATACTGAGCAAGAGCAGAAACAAAGGAGAGCTTTAGCTCCATCCTTACCTCTGGCAGAGCCATCTGCTCAGCCCGACTCCTCCCCAGGAAGCCTGGCACCACTGCCTCCCTGTGCAGCTGCAAGGACCCTCCCTGACACACTCTGCTCCCCGTGGATGCTACGTGGGTGCCTCTCCAACACCTGGGCACTGGGCAAAGGCAGCAGGGCTGGAGTGTGACCACCCAGCTTCAAGTGAAGGTGTGTGCAGACAGGAGCAGAGGCCTCAGGAAGGGGACTAGACCAGGGGACTCTGGAAAGTCACTGCTTCAAAGTGCTCATGGTCACCAGCTCAGGCTGTGAAACACAGGTTGCCCTCACCAGGTGTCCCCCAGAGCATCCAGCAGCACCGTGGTTGGGATCAGGGATGGGAAGTGCTGTGCCCACAGTGCTGCTGGCCACAGCCAGCTCACCATGGGAAACGGCTGGCAAGGGAAGGAGCTGATAACAGCCCAAAACAGCGCTGCTGTAACAGCACAGGAACCAGCACAAGCCGGTGCTGCCAACAGAGCCTTGCCATGACACAGCTTCCCTGGGGTGACCCTGGCTCCCAGGGCTCCTGAACACCCGTGCACAGCTGGATGAGGGAGCAGCAGCCATGTCAGATTCATCCAGGTCACAAAAGGCCCCAGGAGCACTCGCTGCTGCCTGCCCAGGTGAGGCCAGGATCCAGGGTGGGTGTAGTGCTGTGTGACAGCCAGGATGGCTGGGAACAAAAGACACAGATACCTAAGCAAGAAACGAGGGCAGAACCCTGAATCCCATGTATTTCTAGAATACAGGCATGCATGGTGGGGAAAGGGAAGTTTGCCTCACTCTGGAGAAAAAGAAGTGGGGATGGCTAAACTTGCCTCCAGGAGACTGACCTGGAAAGTAGCAGAAGTGGAAAGTCTGCAGCACTCGCAGGGCAGCATGAGTGCCAGTGCAGAGCTCTGGCCCTGCCTACCAATCCCAACTGGAAGAACCTTGTAGCAATGGTGAACAACTAAGACTAGAGCAACTCTGTATGGTGTAGACAACTCCAATGCAAACACAATCCAATGTCTAAGTACAGATAAGCTGGGGTAAACTTCATAGAACCCATGGGAACGCCGAGAAAAAGAAAAGACTAGGAGGGCATCGCCCTTCATTTCCAGAAACTACAGCAATCCCTTCTCCTGGCTGGAACCCCACCAGAACAAACTGCTGGGTGTAGTGCTGGGTGGGAAGAGTCCTTGTGTGGAAAGGTGCCCCAAGATGAAAGTGCAGAGGGAACGTGGCTGCAAGACTGCTTCTGTGCAGGTCTCAAATCTTACCATTGCAGGGTCAAACTCGCAAGAAGAGCATGTACATGGGACAGGGGGAAGGAAGAGGGGTTGGGGGCAAAGAGTTATTCATGCTTAAACAACCTTTCCTCAGAGGAGCAATCAGGCCTACCACCTTCTTTGGAAAAAACCAAGCTGAGGAAGAAAAGCTGGAAGGAGAAGCCAGTTGATTGGTAACAGCATTTGCCAATTTACTTTCTGCTGCTTTCCCTTCTCCCCTGCACCTGCCTGTCCCTAACCTGATGGTTTATTTGTCCTCTGTCCACTCTGGGATGTTGGCCCCTGCTAAGGCAGCCCGGTACTGCTGCAAGACACCGCGGATGCTTTTAATGAACCCCTTGGACAAAGGGAAGAGGGGAAACCCAATGTCAGGGTAACCGCTCTTCTCTGGCAGGAAACTCCTGTAGCTCTTTCTCCTTTTCTTTGGTTTCACACTGGGCTGCGAAGCAGAGTCCTGGGCAGCCTTCCCCTCGTCCGTTCGGTCTCTGGCCAGGTCCCCCCTGGCTTGGCCTGTGCTCTCCGAGTCTGAGTACTGTTGGAGGTCACCAGCACTGGGTGTCGTGGTCGGGAACTCCGACTCGTCCAGCTCCTCCTTCCCGTCCAGCGCCGAGTCGGACAGTTCTGCAGCCACCCCCTGCTCCGAGCTGCCCTCTGCCAGCGCCCCCGCCGTGTCCCCGGGGCTCTCGGCCAGGCTGCCACCGGCGCACAGGAGGGAGGCAGAGTCCGCCCCGTTGGCCTGTTCGTGGCTGCGCTCCACCAGCTCGTTGGTCTCCAGCCAGGACTCGATGCGGGACACCAGGCGCCAGCCGTTGCAGCGGAAATGCTCCCGGATCTCGTGCTCGAAGACCTCGACGGGCCGGCGCAGCAGCTGCATCATGGACTGCACCACGCGGATCAGCGTCATCTCGTTGTAGCAGCGGCTGTTCTCGTAGCCCTCCTGCAGCCCCCGGTCGCTGTCGAAGCCTGCCTCGTTGTAGTAGGGCTCGTTCACCAGGATGAGACCTGCCGGGAGAACGGGACACCGAGGGGTTAAGGCAGGAACGCCAGGGAATCGCCATCCCCTGCCAGGCCACTCCTGCCAAGAAGATCAAGATTAAGGGTCAAGCACGGCCTAGGCTGAACCCCCAGAACCTGCAGGATGCAAACGACTGGTGCTGTAAGGGGAGCATAGTGTGATGTGGTAGGGACTTCGGACTCTGCAGGGAGTGGCAAGTTCCTTGGCTGGCAAGAACAGCCAGCACAATGCAGAGGGCACACAATAGCAGAGGGGGTGAAAAGGGCAGGAAGGGAGAGGTTTCACAGCTTCTTTCACTTCCCTCCTGCAAAAAACCCCACAGACACAACAAAAGCTTTTATTTTCCTCCTCCTCTTAACCAGAACAAAGGCCAGACTGCAGCAACAGGCTTTGAGCTGGCTAGGTTCTGCTCTATCCAGCAGAGTCCCATCACACAGTGCAGTTCTGAGACACAGAAGACTGTGACAAGTCACCTTTACCAAGATTTCTCCTGCTTATTTCTGGTCTAATGAAATTACGGGTATGTAGCAACAGCCCCAGCACCGCCAGGCTGCTGGCAGCCTGCCAGAAGTTGCATTAGAGCTGGGGAGAACATGAGTCTCTCAAAACCCAGGCAGCAGAAGAGATTTTCCCCTAACACCAAGTTGCTCCACTAAAACATTTAGTATTTCATTTTCTAAATTTGGATCCTTGGCTTTGGAAACGAGGGAAGGCTTTTATTGTGGTGTCCTTCCCTCACAGGAGGATACAGGTGGACTGTGGGAGTTCAGAGGAGCAGGAGTTGCCTCCAGTCAGCAGGAACCCTTGCCCTGTGCCAAAGGTTTCTCATCACATGCCTGAGCTCCCTGAACAGAAAATCGTCTATGAGGAAGTTACGTGATTTAGTCTGTCTGCTCCCGAACTGGATAGGGCAGAGCAAAGCCCCATGGCAGGAAGCCCTGGGGCTCGTCCAGGCACACCCCTGATTATTCTCTGCTTTGGTAGGAGTATAAACACCAGCATCATGTGCAAAACATGCCCCATGTAGGATGGGCGGGTGACTCAGTGGGGATAAAAAAGTCCTGCAAACGAGGCCCAGTTTAGCAACTTCAACTAACTTTGGTAACAGGCTGAGGACACGGTGCTTCACCTCTGTCAGCTCAGAGTAACAAGCAGGCAACTCTGTGCTTGGCTGCTGCAGTGAGAAGAAGGGAAAGCATTGTGTCAGAGCCCTGGGATGCAGCCAGAACTCTGGGCATGAGAAAACTTTGGCACCTGCTTCCACGGCTAAAGCAGAGAGATAAGGACACTGCTTTGTCCAGCAAGGTGAGAGCAAAAGGCAGCACTAACCCAGATGGGGTGGCAGATCCCAACTGTGTGCCCCCCATAAGCCAACAGCCCTTCCTCCCTCAGCCTTTTCCTGCCCCACAGGCTTGGCAGGAGCATTTACCTTGGATGGAGATGAGTACTTGAAGGAGACTGGATTTACTGGTCCACCTTTCTGTCCCCTGAAATGCATATACAAATATGTTAAAGGACTAAAGCACCATCAGTTTACTCAGTGACTATTATCAGATGAAGTGAGGCCCCAGCTACTCTGCATTCCTGTTGCTGACATCCTGTGGCTCACGGCAGCAACAAGGAACTGACTCCACAAGCACGTGATGTGCTGGTGTCCCATCTCAACAAGACATCTCTCCGTTATTTTTTTACCAGCAGCACACTCCCTCAGGCCAGTTCTGTCTGGAACTATGTAACCTTACACACCAGCCATCAGTTCCAACCCCTCCTTAGCTGCCCTGTCCTGCTCAGAACGTATTTCCCTGGCTCTGCTTATTCCAAGTTTCCAACTGGACTTTGTACCACGCTACATGATTTGTCCACAGTGTGGAAGACAGAGCCCTAACCCACAGGCACACTCCATGCTGGTGTTGGCATCTCTGCTATGACTGGTCTGACCACAGACTTCTCATTGAAGAGAGACAGTTGAGCCAAGTACAGACTCAGAAAAAGCCAAACTACACGAATTATCTGCTCCAGACACCTAAACCAGAGCCCAAACCCCAGCTCAAGCACCACTCAAGAGAGAAGTCACCCAGGAATGGTAGGAAGTGACTCGTTCCAAAAGCAGACCAGCACAACCCCTGCTCCCCAGGAACAGGTGGATGGTGGCATTACCTTGCCTATCCAGGTCCCCAGGAGGCTGACACACACTTTGCCATTGTCGTACAGGTTGGGATTCAGTCTCCCACTGCACTGGGAGAGGTAGCGGAAGAGAGGCGGGACAGCAGGGTAGATGTTGGGGAGCTGGATGTCGAAGAGGAAGAGGCCATCTTCATAGGGTGTGCGTGTGGGCCCTTTGATAAGTGCTGAGAAGAGATCCTGTGGGGAGAGGAAGGAGGTCAGGCACTGGGAAACACTCTCTTACCCTGGCAGAGCTGTATTTACACAGAAGGAGAGTGGGGATGTGATTGACTCAGCCCTTTCAAGCGTCAGCTCAAGCAACACATCTCAGGGCACCTTCCCCCACCACAAGTTGCACCCTGAGAACAAAGTGAAACAGGGCTTTGAGGAGGGCAAAACCCCCAAATTTACTCCCTACTACAGCCAGCCAGTCTTCCCACTCAGCACCCAGAACAGCTTCACTGCAATCAGCAGCTCCTTTTTTGCCACCCTGACTCAGGGAATGCAAAAGCAGCCATTTTGGGTAATTACAGCTCTGTTTCACATGCTGCACACATTCCTGCAGCTCTAATGCAAAGGATTAAGGCTAAGCAGGGAATTCCAAAGACAGGGATCTGGATGCTGAGCCCAGCACTACCACAGAGGAATCTGAAAGCAGGCACTTGCCATTCGATCCTCGAAGGTTTTCACCATGATGCCATCAGGCAGGGAGGTGGCCAGCAGAGCCATCTCTTTCCTCACGGTGCTGAAGAACTTCTTGGCTTCTGGGGGCTGGAACTCCATTTTCTTGAAGGCATGGGAATCTGTGGGACAAGGAAGACAAGAGAATTACAGCCTGCCTTTGGAAACTGCCACAGGTTCCTCATGAAGGCAAATCTACCCATGTGTAATATGCATCATGTGGAAGAGAAGAGTTAACTTGCTTTCGTGCTGAGCCAGGAGGCAGGAGAGATTATTTCCCACGCAGTACAGCAACCACAACCTGCAGCTCCTGTTCTCACTGTCCCACACAACACTGTCCCCTGTGGCCCAGCCAGGAGCCTTGTCCCACAGCTGGGACAATCCCACAGAGCAATGGCTCTTTCTCTGCCAAACCTAAGCACAGCTCCCCACTTTCCCTTGCCCACACCTGCAGCTTCCCAACAGTTTGGCCACCTTTCTCTCCCATGTCTGGCTCGTGAGCACCTTGGGCTCCACTGTCACCAATGTTCCACACAGCCAGATGCTGTTTTTTATTTCTGGCCACTAACATTGGTGCCAGTGAATAAGGACACTCACTCACCAAGGACACCCAGCACAAGAACACCAACTGTTTTTTGCTCTGCTTCTCAACAAAATGAGCCCTGAAAAAAAGCCTGAACAAACCCTGCAACTTGCAAGAAAATGTCTGCAGTGGAAAGCAACTGATGTTGCAGCCCTTCCACGTTAGTCACCACACTGGGAAAGAAGGAAGCATGCTTCAGAGGCTTGAGAAGGTGCAAGAGTGCTGAGAGATGCTATCTAAAAGCCATGCTTAGGTCCCAGAACATACTGTGCTATAAAAATTGGTTTACTTTCTCCTTTCCAGTTAATGGGCTATGAAAAGGACTAAGAAAAAGAGAGGATACAGAATCCAAAAGCTTTGAGGCAAAAGTTTTGGATAAAGAAACGCTGCAGGACAGTAGTGAAGGACTGAGTATCCCACACTCACCTGGAGCATACTCCAACACAGAGAACACTTCTCCCTTGGCACTGGTGAAGGTGACTCCAGGCTTCCCTCCACTCTGCTGGCAGAGCACTGGTGTCTCACTGGGCCACTCTGACCTCACTGGTGTCTGTGCCTCTGCTTTTTCTTCCTTCTTTTCCGTCTCTACCATGGCTTCCATCTTTTCCTCCTCAGCAATTGCCACATTATCCAAGGTCTTCTTTAGATTTTCCTGCAGCTTTTTAATATCATCCAAGAACTTCTTCTCCCGAGTGGGTTTTTCCAGTTCCACAGTTGGGGAGGTGGGAGAGCCAGTCAGCAGCTGCTCCACAGTCATATTTTTCAGGCTTTCTAAGATCTTGATGGCCTCCTTTAGTTCCCGGAAGCTCTTTGGGGCTCCATCCTTGCCAGCTTTCTCTGTAGCAAGATCTGCAACTGCCATAGCCACAGCTCCCTGGACTTGTTCTTCTACTTTTTTCACCTCCTCTGCTGCTGGTTCCTCAGGCTCAAAGTCCTCAATTTTTGGATGGTCATCATCCATGAGGCCATTATCTGTCTCCCAGCTGTCACTTTCATCCTCCCACTCTGAGGATGCCCCGCTGGTGCTGCCGTCAACAGAATCATAATCTGACTCCTCAATTTCTGATTCAATATTGTACAAGTGCTAAAGGAGAGCAGAGTTATATGAGACTTAGGCTGAAGCACAGTTTCAGTTGTTTTTAAAAGTAAGTCATGAAAAAGGAGCTTCCATTTGGAATTGGTTGGGCTGTTTAAACCCATTCCACCCATACTGGCACAGATTAAAAAACCACACAGCCTCATCCTCCACTTTTCCAACTATGGTATTGGGGGTAAAACCAGGGCAAGTTCTAGATGGGCTGCAGTCCTCCTAGGTGCCTGGGACCCAGCCCTGGAGAGCAGGCAGGTGTCCCACAGCTACCTGGATACCCCAGGTTTCAGAACACAGAGCTCAGAGGTATTTGGTACCATGTGAGGAGTTGGTATTTCTGGTCCTGCTTCTGCACCAGGAACTGTGTTGGCACAAAGCTCTGATTTGGCTGCCTCCCCACTCTGTCCTTCCACAGAGACAATGCTGGAACCAGGAACACATTCCCATAGCAGCTCTCCTCTCCTGTGGCACACAGCACTTGCCAACACAGCCTTGCTAGGCTGCTTTAGCTGTTATATGTGGCTACTGCTTAAAATTCAGCTAGGACAATGGAGCCTCACCCAAGTTGCTGAATAAGCTCTTACATAAAATGTTCTCTTCCCTCTCACTACTGGAAGCTGAACACATCCCCACTCCATCCATCCTCACCTCCTACAACTTGCTTTTGCACATGCTATGTCTCAGGAGGTCTCTGCAGAGGTTTACAGACCTCTTCCAGCTTTAAGCACCAACACAGGGTAGCAAGAATACCTTTATAAGGCTGTGTTTGCAGTTACAGGAGGGGAGCATTTTATCCACATGCTTCTGACAGCTGAGTGACAGCCCAAGAATCCTCTTAATCTTGTAAGATATGACCCCAGAGGCTAAAGCACAGGGACCCTCAGTCATCTTGTCAAAGCCTTGAACTGAACAAGCACTGTTGAGGCAGTCCTGTGCCACCCGGAGACAGGCAGCCAGCAGAGGTTAGCTGGGTTCAACACAAGTGACTGCAGGCAGGAAAAGCCATCAAAACTCACTGCCCTTAAAGCTAATCCAAATCTGAGTTGGAAAGTTAATTAGCCTGTTATGCCATCTTTATTTTTAGAGCTGTGAAAAAGCACCCAGACAGCTCGTCTCTGGGCACACGGTCAGGCATTGATAAATCATGGTTTTACCAACTGATAATTCATGCTCCTGACATTTCCCTAACTCCCATCATTACGCAGAGGAGCAGAATCGAAGGGACTGGCGTGACACAGCAGGAGCTGCTGCAGAGCCCCGGCACTGCAGTGTGAGAACAGCCCTTTGTGGGGCACGCATCAGACCTCTGATTGTGCCTGTGATCCGAGCACATGTGACAGGGGGGAAGGGAGACAGCAGCCTGCTTTGTACGCCCCAGTCCCCTGCCATAGTGCAGGCATTGACTATTCTACTGTAATTAATGCAGAGCTGCTTGGTTTAAAAAGGAATCTTACTCAAGTACTTTGTACTTGCTAAGGCATCTCTGCAGTGGGGGCAGTGGCTGCTCTGCCAGTGACAGAATGGGACTCTACAGAGGTAGGTTGTCTTGCATCTTTAGCTGTCTGCCTTCATTCCAGGCAACAAGGAGAGAAGACATGGGATGAAATTGTATGGGGAATAGCAAGTATGAGTACAAGACAGTACAACAAAAGCCTTAAAAGAACTCCAGACAAATCAGTGGGGTGCAGTGGATTAGCAGTGTGGCTGTATCTGTATTTTTCAGCTTGCACTCAACCCTTTCCCTCCCTGCCCTGGGATAAGATTTGAGTCTGATCCCTAGGTTAGCTAAGGTGACAATTCGTGGCTCTGGCCCAGCTCCTGGAGGAGTTTCTTTAGCTGAAAACTCCACTATGGTCTCTCACAAGAGAGACAGAACATGCAATCGTCTTTTGGCAGTTCCCCGGTTGGGCAATGCACTAACCCAGGCTCCAGCCAGAACCAATGATCCCTGAGCTCTGCAAAGCACCAGGTGCTGGAGGCCAGGAGCAGGGCTGTGGGCAAAGCTGGGAGCAGGCAGTGAACTTGTGAAGGCAAAAAGAGCCTGTCCAGGCTTTCCTACTCACTAGGTGAGAGAGCAGTTAGGACCAACCAGTTGCCCAGACCTCCTGACAAAAAGATTTTCCTGGGCTAACAGAATTGGGAAGCCAACCTATCATGTGGGACTGCAGCAATCGACAGAGCAAGAGTCCCTTACCCAGTGAATCTTTCCACACATAGCATTTAAATCCAAATCTTGTCACTCAGCTAAGAATTACAGTGATACTGGGAGCTGGAACAGGACCTCACCTGAGGCAGAATGATAGTCTTGGAATTGTCAGCCCACACCACTTCCACCTTACTGCTGACATCCACACGAGCCACCTGTCCAACTGAAGGCTGTGGAGACAAGAGTGGTTTGTCAGTCCTTTTTCTTCCCCAGGCATTTCAGTGCAGAGCAGGAAGGATTTGAGAAACACATTCCCCAGCTGGAGAAACACCTAGAGGAACACCTGCACCCTACATACAGAAACCACACAACTCTGCCATGGAGGTGGGGAGAACTCCTCTCCACAAGGAGCAGGGGAGCTGGTCTGGCCCTGAGATCCTGGTCTTTGACAGGACCAGTGGCCTTTCAGTGGCAGCAAGGGACAGGTCCTCCGTGGAATGGGGGTGCCCTCTAGTGGGGTGCCTTCAGCCCCCCCACCCAACACCCAGCACCAGGGGCTCCACAGATAGCACAGGCATGAACAAACAAGCCACAGTTGTGCAGGGTGTGCAGGCAAGGAGCACCTTGCCCTGCAGCAGGTTATTTAGGTCAGCTGAGCAGGCTGGGATGTGTTTCATGCTGTAAGAGCCACACTAAATCTTTTAACACTTTTTTAGGGCAGCAGGCTCAAAAGCTGGAGGTCTCTCCAGGGGTGCTTCTGCTACAATACAAATCGTTCCTTCTTCCCCCAAGGAGATCCATCAGCTCAACAAAATTAACATGAACATAGCTCAGTCATCATAGCTGAACCCCAGTCTTCTGTTGCTATGTGAAACCAGTTTCATGACAAACCCTTCATGGCTGCTCAGGAGCTCACAGGATATCCTTTTATTAGAAGTTACTCTGAAATCCTAAGCAAGAGTTTTATGAAAAGCCCTCAGGCGTATGTTCAGCTCTTGTCTCAGCTTCATTCTTACTCTGCTGCAGACTGTCATTAAGGTCAAAGGATTTCAAGGTTACATCTCCACCAGACAGAGATCTGATGTGTTACTCACGACAGCAGGGGACATCAACATAAAATCATTTGGAAGCTAGGGAGTTTAGGATGCCCGTGTGGGGCCTGAAGCCTTCCTATCAGCTTTTCCCAGTGTCTCCAGCAATACCTGGTGACAATGTGGTCACGGCACGGTGCCCAGCACTCACCTCGTCCTCCTTGGCCGCGGCTCCGTCGGAGTTGCCGATGCGGATGACGATGTCGGTGGTGCGGAAGCGAAAGTCCGGGTGATCGGCGATGTCGTACACGCTCACATCCTCCTCCTCCCCGATCAGCTGCACCAAGACAGTGCAACACATCAGCCCCAGGAGGCTGCACTGACCCCCAGAACACACCTTCAGCACTCCAAAGCACTTTGGGTTTTATTTCGTCCCTTTTTAGCTGCTCTGACAGCCTGCAAGGGGTTGCTGCTGTCCCTCTTTGTCACCTCATCTAGCAGCATGTGGATCATGGCACAACAATGAAAGCAAGCAGATATTCTGTCTCATCTGCTCACCCTCACTTTCACTTCAGGATCCATGTCAACACAACAAGGAGATGTGCAACCAGAGTTTATTCCCTTCTGAACACCCAGATTTCTCAAAGCAGTTCACTGGGGCCCAAAGGGCGAGGGTTTACTTTTGAAATTATCCAAGGCAACAGGAAGTATCTGACAAAAAACTTGTCATTTAATGGGAAACATCCTTCCTTTGATTTCTCCTGGAGAAAGAGAGCTAGGAACACACAAATTAAGAGAATAAATGGAGCACAACCCTAGGCCAGACTCATGTTCTGTTTCTGCATGTGAAGGGCCCTGTTCAGTTATGACAATGTAGTCTGGCAGGCTAAAACAAAGCAGTGTCAAGGCCCCCCTCTCATCTCCAACTAGACTGCAGTCTATCAAGACTCTGGAAAATACAGCATTCCTACATATCCCAAGAAAAAGGCATTAGGGTAACTATGGGCAATAGTACCTGGCAGAGGCAAGCACAACAATGTGCAATAGATTGATTCTCTTTCTATGAACCATGCAAAGACGTGGGGAGGAAAAATTCTTAGAGTGAACTCAAGAAATCAATTGTCTGTGACAACCTTAGCAAAAATCTTCATCCATACTAGAACCTGATGATACCATGGGATGTAAATTATCTGTCTGGTCTTTGCTACCTCACAGGCATCTACAAATACGAAGTGACATCACCTCTAGCTAAGCCTCCCAGGCCCATAAGCACTGGTCCCTTCCTCAAGGACACACAGTCAATGCAGAGCTGATTTCCAGGCTTATCTATGTTTATCTGTGATGCCTGTGTTATTTCGTGACTGTTTTCTTTTAGCTGGTTGCAGCAGCTACTGGCTCCTGCACTTACCTCCACATCATCTCCACTGGGTTTCAGCTTGAACCACTTCACCACACAGGTACGGCCGATGTGGTCCCCAGACTGCACCACTCCATACAACCCAGGATCCTGGGAGCTCTGAGCTTTTGGTCACAATGGTAGGGAAGAAAACAGACAAATCAGGCAAAGGAGCACAGACTTTGCTCAGTGACTGAGACTGTCAGCTCCTGGGCTCTCATGGCTGAAGCCTTCCACTTGTGAATGGCATGAGGAAAAACACTTCTTCCTACACAGTGAAAATTGTTGCCAAACTAGAATGGGTAACTTTAGTTTCCACAGGCTAAGTGTAACTCAGAAGACCAGTCAGACTATTACTCATCAGAAATGGCTACATAAAACAGCCTCTTATTTATGCATATTTCCTGCTTTCCCAGTCTGAGAGTCTTCCAGTCCCCACTGCTGAGGGTCTACCCTTGCTAGAAAAGGAGCCGAGAGCCAGATGGTGCCATCAATATTTAATATCCAAAAGCTGTAAGTCTCCTTGAACTTGTGTCGTGGCCCTCACTAGCATCACCAATTGGTTTGGTGAAGAAAAGGGATTCAAGATGCCTCTGGATCCCAAAACTCTCTACGAAAAAAACGTGAGGGTCATGATAGATCAGCCATACAGAGAAAACAGCCTGAGGTAAGCTGTTTGTTTCTCCTCTCATTCTGGGACAGAGCTCAGAGCTGCTGGCCCTTTCAAGGTGGGCAATCCCTGCTCTGCAGAAATACTGAAAATCCTAGTTTGGCTCCTTAGTATTTATTCTTTCCACATCCTTCCTGTTATCATAGTTCAGCTTTGGTATGTAAATAATACTTCTCTGCTGCCATTCCCACCAAGTTAGCTGAATCACTGCTGTTCCTGTCAGGTGCCCACCTCAAGCGAGCACTAACAGCTACAGAGCAAATTAGGGGATCCAAACTGAACAACATTTTGCAATTAAGAGCATTGTTCTGACACCCAATACCTCTTTTGTCCACCACAAAATCGCCGGGGCAGAACTCGTTGTTGTCCAGATGATGCACAGGGATCAGCTCATTGGAGCGGATGTTTGTCTCCACGGTGCCATCCTGCCACATCACATCAGCTGAAGTCATCGTGGTCACCACTTCCACAGCAACCCTGGCAGCACAGAAAGGCAATGAGTTACTAAAGGGAACATCAGAGATCAAGATGGACCTCAGTAACACACAGCTACGTGGATCAGCAGGCTGGGAAGCAACTCAGGAAAGCCCACGTAGAGCCCATGGATGCAGCTACACGGAGGCTTTGTTTTGATGGGTTCTCAACCCCTGCAGGTGTTACATTGCTCAAGGAGGACTTTCTAGGGAGCTCCTACTGAGTTCATTTTTATTCCTATGGAGGCAAATTAACATCTACTAGAACCCCCTTTCTGCCCCTGACAGGAGCTTCAAATAGTTTGAAACTTGAGATCTTCTCCACTGAAGCACCTTCCAGCCTGACAGCTCTGAGGAGACTTTGAAACTTGAAGAACACACGACTGGAAAGATAAATCATCACAGCCCTTCCAGAGAGGAAAAAAAAAAACAAAAAGAAAAGAGGCAACACATTGAATGTGGGTAAAACAAAATGATTTTGTTTAAAAGAGAAGAATGTCCTTCTGAGCTGTTCAAACACAGGCATGTCTCTGTAGCTCAAAAATTAAGTCCAAACGTGCCACAATGGACCATATGCTGGCTCTCTGCTGTGAGGCTTGACAGGGATGCCTGAGGAGGCAAAGTTCTTGGGACAGGAGGGACAGTCTAACTGGACACTCTTTTAATGAGCCCTCCACTAATTTCATCTCTCCTACGGCACAGAACAAACCAAATCCCACATTGGCTTTAAATCTTCCCTTTACTTTGCTGGCCAGGCCTTCCAGAATAACACAAGTGCTGGATTTATGTTGGTTTCAAAACCAAATCAGAAAGAAAATACAATAGGCAAATACAGCTGTTTGCCACCAGCCTGTTTTTGCAGACGTCAGAGAAATATTTTTAAGTGGAAACAAGTTTTTAGTAGGGCCAGCACTCAATAGCAAGAAATTAACAGAGGGTCTGTAACAAGCCAAGTGTCTGTGTGATATGCAACAAAATGGTTTCTGCTGCACACAGGACATGTGCAGCTGAGGATGGGAGTGGAAAGGCTGTGAAAGGGAAATGAGGCATTCTTGTCTGCAGCAGAGGCTTCAATCAAAAATCAAGACTTGATGTTAATAAAAATTCCTGTATTCCCTCACTAAAAGATATCCAGAGGTGTATGTGCTGCACAGAGAGCAGCAGCAGGTCACTCACTGATGGCAAAGCCACATGCTGAGCTGGCCCCTGCAGTCACACTGCCCAGGAACTGACACATCACATGTGGTGACTAAGTGCAGGCAGCCCAAGCACTTGGCATTTCTGAGCAATGCCTGGCAGAACATCCCTGATGGCCTCAGCATCCCCTCAAAGGAATATCCAACAGCACTGGCCCCTCACACTGAGCTGTGCCCAGCTGCCACATGTACCCTTCACAGCATCAGCTGGGGGCTCTCAGTCTGTGCTGAAAAAGCCTCCATCTCCTACTCTGTGTGTGTTGTGGTTGTCTCTGCATCTCCTTGTATAGAGCTGTCCTGATCCAGCACTGGAATTTCTTGGGGCTGCCACAGGGATATTTCCCCACTGTCTATATGGTGCAGAGAGCCACCAGGTGCCCTAGCTAAGGTTTTGCTCTCCTTAGCAAAACCTTCAGTAAAACAGAGACACTCAGTGGGGGAGTGAGACATGAAAAGTGAACTGAAAATCTGTTCCCAGGAACTCTATCACACACTCCCATTTTTTCCTCACACTTGGATACTGGTCTGCTGGGCTTTGTGACCTTCAAACCTCATTTCTCCAGAACTCACAAGGAGTACAAGAACCACTCACAGGCAAGGCTAAATACCTACAAAAAATGCAAATGAAGTTCACGACACTCTCAAACTACTGGATCTCCTGAATAATCTCTGATAATGTCACTTTCCTGGGAGAATTCTCACATGTGCTCCTGTACCTGTTGATGCAGAATCTGTACACAACTAAGCAACCCAGGGAGGCCAGCAGACAGGCAGACCACTTGTCAGATGTCCTTGAATCCCATGAAAACAATTTAAACATTCCTAAGTTAAAGGCAAAAGCTGCCGAGATCCAGTTTTATCTAGAAACGGGCAGATACATGCAGTGCTTCCTCCCTCAAGCTACTGAAATAAATTCTTCCAAGGCCCTCAAGGAGTGAGTTCAATTCATTCATTAAAAAATTCTAATATTAAGAAGTATACTGCTGGCAAAAATTGCAGATCTCAGCAGAGCAGGGTGAGGATAACAGAGACCACAGCAGCATTACCACCTGCCAGCTCAGAGCTCTGTGCTGCTCTGGAAACAGCTCTCTAGGATAAGCTGTCCATTCCTAGCATGGTCTGTCCTCAGCCTCTCTGCAGAAGCTGCCAATAAGGTAACCAATTAGTGTCATGTTTAAGCTGTGTGATCTTTATTCACCTCTTTCCCTGCACACAGAGTCTAGCACAGCACAGATATGCTGTCAATGCCCGAGGCACAGCTGAAATGGAATAGCATCAGTGTCAGGTCACATGGCCCCAGTTTCATCAGAAGCTGGACTGAGACCAAGCTGATTCCACACAGGCCACTGCACAGTCATCACAGGGTAACTGCTGTCAGTTACTACCAAACTGTGCCCAAACTCCCCAGCACCCTGCACCTTGACTTCAGGTGGTGCTTCACAGCTGAGCACTTGGGTAAGGGAGATTTTGGCAATTACACGTGGGTGTGGAAATCCAGCTCACCTGTCTCCTGGCTTAAACTCTCGTGAAACCTTGGTCTTCTTCTTCTTGTGCTTCCGCTTCAAGTTTTTGATGGAAAGAGGGATGCTCTTCTTGCGGCAGGTGCCACTGCCACTCTGGGACGAGGCAGTGGAGCTAGCAGAAGAGGTGACAGAACTGGTGTCATCAGTGTCATCAGCTGCCTCATCGTCAGCATCCTGCTCCATGGACTGGAGCCGGTAGTCAGGCAGCCCTTCATCCTTCAGGAGAAAGGGAGGCTGCTGCTGCCGCGCTGCTGCTCCGCCTTTCTCCTTCCCTGCTTCTTCAGGCTGCTCCTCCTTTCTCTCCCCAGGACTTGGTGCACTGTTGGAAGAGTCATCCAGCTCACACTTGGATTCAGGTTTAAGCTCTTCTGATTTTTGGTCAGCAGCTGCAGCAGACTCTTTGTCAGGGGCTTCACTGGTGCCCTGAGACTCCGGGGAGCACGACATTATTTTCACGATCTGCTTCTTCAGCAGCCGTCTCACCTGGACAGAGCAGACGTGGGTCAGACCTGTGCCTGGACACTCAGCAGGCTGCCAGCCAGCCTAAGGAATGCTCAGCTTTGTGCAGGGAAAAACAGTACCCATGGGGCTCTGCAAATTTCACCTGCACCAGACTACTCTGCAAACCAGCATCTCACAATGCTCTGCTCAGGAGCAGCACTGCACTAACACAAATACAGTAAGCTCTTCTCCTTCAGCTTATTTTAAGCATGTTTTGAACTTTTTTGTTATGGAAGGTCACAAGAAGCTGCACAAGTTAATCCATGTAACAGGCACAGACAGAAAGGTCACCATTTGCACACTGATGACATCCTGTTGTTCTAGGAACACCAGGGCTTTACAACCAGTAGGTACAGATCATAGCATGACTAACTTGGCTTAGGAAGCAAAAACAACTTCCTTGTTTCACTGTAGCAAGGATTTAACTGAACCTTTCATCTCCATGAGAATTCTAAGGAAAACAACGTGTTTTTAAGTCCCAGCTGTCAGAGCACACTTGACCCCTGCAATGTGACACTTCTGCATTGAGGCTGTGTTCATGTTCTCTCAAGGTGTAGCTGCATGCTTCACCCAGAGCAGTCAGACCTCTCTACAAGGTGACTTCCCTGCTGGCAACAACAAGTCATTACTCTTCACAACCATTTCAGGAGTCACATTTCAGACCACATGACTACCAGGAAGATCTCTGCTTTAAAAGCCACAGTGACCACAAATGCCTAGAGAAGTCAAGGTCTCCCTCAACCCCTCAACTCACCTTTTTGGCAACTGATCCTTCACCCAGGACACAGTTCCTCTCTGGACATTCACAGGTGATTTTTGCAGGTTCCACTTTGTCTGGGAACACGTAGAGGCACCTTTCCCCAAGCTGCCTCTGGGCATGGTCAAAGCACCCCAGACGCTTTACCCTGGCAGAACAGGAGAGCCATGAGCACAGAACAGTAACAGAACCCAGCAGTACCCAGGGCTTTCACAAGGCTGGCATGGCCTCACACCAACAGTGCTGCTTCAGGGGTGGCAGAGCACCACACCAAATAATTTCCAGGCACACAGTTCTAAAGGAGAAGTGGGAATCTCACCAGGGACTGGGTGGGGACACAAAGGGTTTGGGTGGGACACAAGTCACTCCTCTCCCTGTAGCTCCTCCCTTCCCCTCAGAGAGAACTGCCAAGAGACACTTGGGTTTTTTTACTGTAATTTGAGAGCTGTTCCCCTCCAGCACATGAGCTCCAGGTAGGACCCACGCTGACAGTGCTGCTGCTCATCTGACTTTGTCTTTTGAGCTTTCCCAGCCCATTCTGGCAGCTGCAGCCTGCAGAGGGCACCAGTTACTGCCTCAGCACCAGCCCGGGCTGCAGCCGCACCCCTGAGCCCCACCCCAGCCACACACGGAGCTGCAGCCTGCTCCAGGCAGCAGTCAAAGGACAAGCGAAGAAAGAAGCTGCTGCCAGAGCACTTGGTGCACCTGTCACCTGGAGAGAACTTGGCATTAGCGGGATGCTTGCCCTCGTGCTGGTAACTCAAGTGTCTGCTAAACTAATTTGGAAGCTGTTTTCTCGTATTTTTGAAGCTCTGGGATATGCAGGCGTGCAACATGGAAAAAAAACCAAAACAGCATTGGAAAACAGCTGGAAACAGCAGCACTGTGTCTCTTCACTCGGTAGTCCTGGCACCCACAGTCTGCAGGGCCTGAGTGCTGGGAGTGAAAAGGGTTTTCAAGGGATCTCACCTGGACAGCTTCTCCTGGCTGATTATCGAGGGAGGAGGGCTCACACTGTCAGTACCTCCAGGACAGAAGCTTTTAGTGATCCAAGTAACCTTTAGTTCTACCACCTGTACCTACAATGTAGTGATAGCAAAGGCAATTTAACATTTCAGAGACTTTCCCAGACCAATGTCTCAGATCTGAAAGTTTACAAATAGGATAGTGGCAAATCTGCTTTTATCATTTAATGTGGGCAAGTGCAGTTTCACCACATTCAGAACAATCACAGTTCCCCCATAGCCTGATCTCTGACAACAAAGATTCTACAGCTATTAACTCCAAGCAAAGAAAAGTGGCTTGGGAAGGAAGATATGGTACATATAAATTAGCAGTCCAATGTCACAAAGAGATATCCTAATGGACTTGGAGCTGCTCCTTTAAGCAAAGAGTCAGCAATATTTCTCCCTTTTTGAACAGCATGCAACATTAAGTTTCAATAGATGTGCTCCTACTGCCCTAACGATCAATAGCACTGCCCTCTGAGCGTGCTGACACGTCATCTCTTTACAGGGGGCCAGCAGGAACCCTTGCTAGGATGCTCAAAAGTCCTGCCAGTCCCCAATGAGGAATTTGTCACCTCAGAACACCACAGACACAGCACATTTGCTCTTGGGAGGTTACCATGGCAAGCTGACTCTGCTCCAAGCAGTCAGCCAGGGACCATGCAAAGCAGAAGGTGGCCATGTGTCAGGGTGCCAGTTCTTACCTCTTCCACCACCACTCTGAACTTGCTCTTTGTGCTCAGAACAGGCTTCACACCCGAGAGCCACTGTACACTGGAGAACACTTTAGATGGCCCAATGAGGACTTGTCCAGGATAAAAGCCATATGAATCATCAAAGAAGAGACCCTGTGGGAGAAATGGAGGGGAGAAAGTCCCATAAAGGACTCTAAGGTTTAATATTCCAGCACTTCCCTTCCATCTTTTGTGATCAGTAAGATTAACTATAAAGGTAAAGTCTGCAAGATGCCCATCTCCTGAAGGCAACCCAACAGTTCCTATAGCAACCTGCTCTGTCACACATCCAAACAGGACCAGGACTTGGTGCAGGAGAAGCAAGGGTACTTGCAAGAAACACAAGATGCATAGTTCCACATAGAGGCTCTCCCAGTAACAAGGTAGCCAAGGTCAGCCAGGCAAGGACACTTTTCTCTTTTCCATGCTCTAATTCAAGCACCTACATCTTTCAGAGGCAGAGGATGTGTGCCTACACTCCTTTGCTTGTCAAATTAACTGTGTAAGTATTATTCCTGTCTCAGGTGGATTAGTTAATATGACAGTTCTTTGAAAACAAAAACAGGACAGTAAACACAACAATTGCTTTCCTAGAGTTCCTTCCACTGATAGTGAGATTCAGAGTGTGGGGGCGGACAGAGCAGTTTAGGGTAGATAAAATACTGAGCACAAAACTGCATCATGTGTTGTAATTTGTCAGAAGGGATAAGAGCAGTGTGACAAGATCTAAGTCAGGTAAGCATCTAACACACAGCAATTCTGAGCACAGGATCAAGAGTAACACTGGAGACAGCCTGTGATCCAGCCCAAACTGAGACTCCCCAGAGGACTCTGTACACTTTAAAGGCAGCCTGACTCAAAACAAGCCATCTCAAAATTGGGTAACCAGAAGCTGAATGTTGCCACAACATCCATTTAGTGAGCAGAAAACACACAACACAACCCAAAATAGCAGAGACTGAAGTACTGGAGAATATCGAGTGACAGACCATTCTTTTTCTGTACAGAACCAGAAAACCACAGCAGCACATCCTATTGAACTGATATTCCATTTACTCTTCAACAAGCTGGCATCAAGTTTTAGCAGAAGTGCAGTTTTAGATCAAAGGGACCTTTGCTTTGAAGGCTGGGAAGGATAAGAGCTCAGTGCTTTGCTAGTTCCTAAGAATCCCACGTCATCCTCTGTCATCTCCCAACACTGCTGCCAGGAGTGCAGCAAGGCCCTTTGGAAGAACAAGCAAGCTGTCATCAGCCTTTGAAGGTGAGAGAGGTTAGAGCCCATCACACAGCAAACTGTTTCACCCAAAAGCCAGCAAAACCTTTGCTGCCATGTGATTTGGAAAATGCCAGTATGGTTGTATCTCTCCATTCAAAAAACACCATGCACTGCAGTAACAAGAGACATTATTTTACATGACCTGAAAACCTGCTTCTAGCAGAACACCTGTTAAACAAAATACCCTTTTCCAGAAGAGGAACAGTTTTTAAAAGCAGTACATTGGGTAAGAGCTTTTAAAGCAGGTGCAGATAGAAGGAGCAGTGAGTGAATTGCCTTGACACCAGCCATCTGACAGCGTGTTACACAAGTTGTTTACAAAGAAACCAGTTGGATGTATCACTTGTAATACCTCCTCAAACCCTGCTCAATACTAACATTACCTTTAAACTGTTACTGTAAATGATACATTCTTAAGATTAATAAATGCCTACGAATTTTGCCTTCTCCCTCCCTCCTGCACAAAAGGTTTCCAAGACAAAGTTGATCAAAAGGACTGTCAGGAGAACCAGCAGCTCACCGAGTCACTGACGTGGGGACAAACATCATACAGCTTGGCTCCATCTTCTGTGCTCATGGAACACCTGGAAAGCAGACAGCAGACACACGGTCACATTTCCAGAGCCAGCACCCCAAAAGCAAACAGTGCCCAAGGAACTGACACTGCCTGAGCGTGTCTGGCCATGCACCCAGCAGGGTATCACTGAGCTTTTATGGTCCAGAGAAAAACTGGTTATAGACAAGCTGTAAAAGCATTAAAGGTATCTGAAAGTCCCATTCAACCAAGCTATGTAACAGGCTGGGTACTGGACAATATCCGGCTGCTGTAAAGGTCCCATTTGTTACTCACACCATGCTAGGACCTAAAGGCAATTTGGGCATATTTCCTTCAGTAATAGCTTCATTTCCAGAGTAAGTTCTGGTGGCATTTCAAATGATTAATTAGGAAGAGGCTTTGCAAGCAGTACCTCCCTTTACACAGCTGTGCAGGAGCTGGTACAAGATTCCAAGCAAAGTTTTAAATTGCACCAGTAACTGCAGGCAATACAGATAGATATGTGTGCCTATTTTTCACTCCTAGTTTAATGTACACCTAAGAACCTTCCATCCCGGGTTAACTGCACAGAAACACAGCCAAACTCTCAGATGCATCCACCCGTCATCTGCTACAGCTCCCACATTACTCACTTCTCTTAGACAGACTCAGAGCTAGCTGCAGGATTGGGGATTTGACTGTTGTGTTTTAAACATCAATGTCAACACTCAATTTACAAGACAGATGGGTTATTCCCCAGCTGCCAGGCCCATACTCGTCTTGGGCCTCCACTGGTTCCTTCCTTCCCTTGCATCAAGAGTTTGTTGGATAGGACAGGTCTCAGTTACAGAGTGAATGTAGTGTATTCATAAGGGTTAGCACACAAGTCACTGTCTCAGATGTAAGAGGAATAGAATTCAGATCTTTCCCGTCTTTGCAGGAATTTCACCATATATTTCTTTCAATATCTCTGGTTAAATCTTTCTCTAGACTTTGGACTGTTTTCATTTATAAAAAATTCAGTGAAAAAGAAAGCTGTTATATCTTTTGGCTGCTTTTTCATATTCGATAAAAACCATTAGCCTGCAAATTTCCACCATTTCAAAGGTAAGAATTCTCCCTGCAGCTCGCTGAAGTTATGCTCTCCTACTGAGAAACAGTCTGGAACAAATACCCATCTTCAACAGCTACTTTTGCAGACGAAAGCACAGTTTAAAGACCAATGTGCTTTAGCTCTGGAGCACTGATCTGCTGGGATTGAAAAAAATTGTCACCTTTCAGACTACAGCTTTTCCAGAGGGTTGGTCAATGAACCTCAATGTTGTCAGAGAAAGATGTATTCTCTTGCTCTACATCTGAAGATTATGCAAGCAGATAACTTACTGCTATGTAAATTAAGCCCAAACTGTTTCTAGTTCTCATAAAACAGATTAGGACTGTGAAAAGCAGGGAGGACAGTCTTCCATAGGAAGGAGAAAAGTACCTGGCTCCATTGGAGAGCTTGAGGATGACCTGATTCTTCAAGTCATAGACCTTGCCCAGCCAGCAGTCATAGGCTATGTAGTCACCATACATGAAAGGCTGTGATGAAAACAGAAAACAAAACTTTATAAATAATTGTTGTAGCTGGAGCCAATTTTTATCACAAAGACTAATTTTTCATTCCAGAAGAGCTCATATCCTACAGTCTCCCCACAGGCTGTGACTTGGGGTGAGTTATGACATTCCTGCTCTTCACTCCCAAATTATCTTTATCTCAGAGGAGAAAGAACGATGAAATCCTACCCCACCTGGTCTCTGGAAATCACCTATCCACTCAAAGAGATAAAGAAATATATTAGAGCCTGTTCCAGCTTAACAGAAACATGCCTGACTCATCTCAACTTTTTTATAGCCTGTTTTAACAGCAGTACTGTTGCAGCTCTGGGCCACGGCCATGGGCTGCCCTGGTCAGGTTGCCACACCAGCTTTCCACACTCAGTGCAGGAATCCTCACACAATTTAATGTCAGTCTAGCCCTTCAAGACTATTTGGTCTCAGCAATATGATGAGAAACACAGAACAGATGGGGAGATGAGGAGATGCTGCATCATCTTCTGCTAGGGAGGTTGCTTGCAGCAAGTTTAAAATAAAACCAAACTGCAGATGCATCTTGCACAACATGGATGCTTCGTCTTCAAAAGAGACTTGAAGTACAGCAGCATCCCTCCACACCACCAGGCCCTGGCTCCCGTGTGGATTTTGGCTGTGTTCTCACCCAGATATGCTGCAGGTCTTTGCTGTTGACAGGGTAAAGGATGCAGTTGGTTCCCACCAGCTTCACAGCACACTCGATGTTGACGTCAATTACAGTTCCACACTGACTGTCCTGAAAACACAAAATGGAAAAAAGGTTTGTTACCTAGGGAAGATCCTAAATACAGATGTATGTGTTTTGTGTACATGTTAGAAGTTCAGAGACAAGTAAAATTTAAGACTAAATCCCCTCTTACCCTTCAGGTCCTTGCTGCATTTCACACAACACTGTGAGAGCTCAGAAGGTGAGATCACTATTACAGACCTGTAGTGTTTTCTTCCCAGTTACAATCTGAAATACCTGCTAAAGCAGAGACTCCTGCACCTGGTCAAATAAGACCATACTATATCAGGTCATTAGTATTTACTTGCTTTAAAATCTGCCTGGCTCCCAGCTCTACAGGACCATCATGCAGGTACTGCCTTGAGTCAGCAAAGGCAGGGGTAGATCAACAACAAAACAAATTCTTTAAAGCTCTTGGGACTTTAACTCACATAATTTTTCAGAACATTATAAATGGCCTTTATTTTGTGTCATACTGAAAAAAAAAAAATCTGGCACCTGTGGTCAAAGGTCAAGGTTTGCACCCTGATAATTTACAGCTGGTCTAATTATAATATGGCCTGTCATTATCTCCCTCACTTTTTAACAAAGTTTTAATCTTTTTGGTCCCCAAGAAAAGAAGGCATGCTGTCAGGAGCCTTCTGGGGGCAGCTTGGCAAGGAGCACACAATGTGCACGTTGCTCACACATATGGTGGAGACCTGCAAGGAAGGACTGCTAACCCAAACAGTGTCAAAGGCAGCAGCTGCCCTGACCTTCTGACAGCTGGGACAATCAATATTCTTACTTACTAAAGACCACAAATCCATTATCAAAGCTGACTGAGGGCCAGCATGACAAATGCCTTAGTATGAGCTGTCCTTTTCTCAAACATCAAGGTCTCTTCTCCAGCAGGACTCTAGCACAACACTCAAAGGGCTTATACCCTGCAAGAAGTGGATTTGTTTGCTCAGTTTTCTTCTTTCAACCACAAGAAATGTTTAGTCAAGGCTTTCACTCAGAACCCTGGGCAGCCCTTGTGGGAGTTCAGGAGTTTGCTGGTGCTCAACTCATTCAGTTTCATCTTGAGGACTGACACTTGGAGCCAAGAGAGTCCAGGCTAATTCCTGGACAGACTGCTCGGCCCTTTTGGCTGGCTTGCTCTCCACCTGCCTGCTGCTAGTTGTGTGCTCACACCACACCTGCCCAGTGCCCTGCAGCCCTGAGGCTCCCAAGGCAATGGGATCAGCAGAGTGGGACCCGCCCCAGGCAGAGCTGTGCCAGCACACATGAGGGCTGGGAGAGCCAGGCTGGCAGACCCCAAAGCAGCAGGGGCTCATTCCCTCCAGCTGCTCCACATATCACTCCTGTTCCTTTCCAGAAGGACTGGGAAGCAAAGGGAGCCTTTCTCAGCTTCAGCTCCATCATAACAGACTGCAGCTAAGCTTGTTGCCTGAACAGGCTGCCAGGAAAGAGCCCAGCAGAGCTGTACCATCACTCTCACCTGAAAAGGGCTGGCCAGAACTACATGGGCTTCACAACAGCTGCTGCCAGCACGATTTGAGCCGTGGGATGAGTGAGGCCTGCTCAGAAGTGGCACCTGCTCAACAAACCCACAGCTTCTGCAGGCTGCAGCACAGCCACCTGCCCTGCTTTTCCTCCAGAGTAAGCTAAAACAAGCATACCCACACCATCCTCTGGCTGTGCTTTGCAGTTCAGGCTCTGTGTTTTAGACTGTTTGTTAGTCAGAACCAAAAAAAAAACCCCAGAAACAAACTCCTTGCCCTACACTGAGCATTTCAGAATTAATTTTTCCTTTATCAGCAGCCAACATGACAGCAGCTCTGAGACATGATACAATCCAACACCTGTGATTTCCGTGGATCATACTGTATCCTGGTCTAAAACCCCTTTAATGGATGTTGAAAGTATAGCAAGCAATAAAACCAGAACTGGAGTGACTGATGCTCCAGCACCCTTTGCCTATTCTCTAAGTGAGTTTCCCCATGGATAAAGTACCTGCACCACCCTAAAAGTGCCTCCCACCTAACACATCGGGTGCTATTTGTCATGGTCAAGAGCAACAGGTTTAGCTCAGCTTGCTTCTCCTTCCAGTTATCAAATGTTTGAAGAAGTGCAGAGCCTTGTCTGTCATTAAGAAAGAAGATCAATGAGCTCGATCTGGGGTTGTGAGCAGCCCCAGGACCTACAGGGCTGTCAAATCACAGTTCTCCCTCACCTACCACTGAACCTTCCTTTACTATGAGTTTACTTATTTTCCTGTCACATGAAACATTAGCCTGTGATAGAGGATGCAGATTTGCAGGCTGAGGGGTTCTGCTGAATCACTCTGGGTTTATAGCAGTGATCAGCAGTGCAGTCCCAGCAAGAGACATTGCCAACTTGTCTCATCTTTCATGGCAGGTCCTCAGCTGGCACAGCTCAAACACACCCACCCTTTCATTAGCTGATGCCATTAGAGGAGGGGCCAAATGAAACAAGCTGACATTTCACAGTTTTGTTACAAAAATCAGTTTCCATCAATTCCAACAGAACTGGAAAAGGGAGGTGACTGAACTGAGTGAAGAGAGCTGATGGCTTCAAGCCCCACTCACTCCACAATTGAGTGCACTCCCTAGACCTTGTTCCTGCTTCTTTTGGTACCCTGACATCATTCACCACACTGGAGATACTGAATATTTAAGCAGTAAATGAATTCCTTCCCCATCAGACAAGGCTTTAAGGCAGATCAGTAAACTCCCATTCAAGAGAGCAGCAGCTCTGGAAACACAGCCTTCAATACCATATCTTCTACTTCCCATCCTTTTACTTTTTCCCTTAGTACTCTCTTTTCTAATAAGAGGATCCTACACCACCCTTATTGCTTTGTTTAAAAGGGATAACATAGCCCAGCATCCTTTGAAACAACAAAATCCAGGTGTCTGACAGATTACAGACCTACTTCCTACCTTTTCCCCGAATCAGCATATCACCTGGAAAAATTAACTCTGTCACTTTTCCTGCTTCTCTTCCAGCTGGATTAGACTTTCAGGCCCAACTGCATTCAGTGAAAATGATCTCATTTTATGCATTTCCCCCTGAAGCAGTCTTTTCCCACACACAGTGCTCAATGAGAAGCACATGGATTTGAGTCAGCTCTCCTCTCTTGAGGAACAGAGGATTTTGAGTCCTTCCCGCTCAAGGTTAAAAACAAGGCCTAAGAGAGTGTGTTGAATACAGAATAAGTTCCACATTCTCCATTTGCCAGGCCAACTGGCGCAGGGCAACCATCCCACATCCTGAATTTGGCAGGCTGACACTTGCAGGTTTTCTATTTTAAACGCTCCTGTAATTTTTGGAATATATCTGTTAGCAAGTGAAGGTTTTCTTTGGGAATAAAGGAGGTTTATTGTTTAATTTACCACTAACATTTAAAAACATTTGATGGTAAGGAAATATAAGTCATCCTCAGGTTTGTTATGCTTTTTAATAGAAAGAGGAAATTATAAGTTATAATCTCACCATTCCATCAATTAAAAAAATGAAGTTACTGGGCACAAGGGTCAAGCAAATACCATTATTTAAACATGCAAACGGACAAAAATGAATGTGCAAGACAACTGCTGGGCACATATCTACCAAAATATGTGCAGCAAGCCAGGGGAGCCAATTTCTGCTCAAATGAGAATGGAAACTGCAAACAAAAGCAGCATATCCATGTTTGCCAAGAGGAGAACAACCTGCTGTCCTGAAAGCTTAAAATGACTTTAAGAAGCACTGGATAACAAACAGTTGAGAGATAGGACTCAAAGCATCCCCCTTGAGTGAGAAGAATATACTGACAGCTCCAACTGTGCCAGGTGAAACACTGTCAACAGCTGATAATTCCAGTTTCTACCTGTTCATTGTTTCAGATGAGAACTCTTTCATAAAGCTGCAGTTTTAGAAAAAATATGTTGACTTCAAATTTCCATTTCAAACAACCATTAAATTTCTTAAGGAAATACTTTGCTTCAGCAATTTTCAAATTATCATTCAAGCTTTTCGTTCCTTTTCTTTTTCTTTGTAATAATCTGTGGAAAAAGGGGGTGGGTTTACTTGCATTAATTGACAAAAAATGGCTTTATTTAAAAATAACAAAAACCCAAACAAGCCAAGCAGGTCAGAGAATAGCCTTCTCTATCCCTGCACCAGGCTGCACACCATGTGGTACAACTGCAGCAGTTAGTGGCCAGCTGCTTCCTTCATCACAGCCTTGGTAGCCACATTGCTGGAAGCAAGTCAAGAGAAGATAGAGGCAAGCACATGGCAGGCCCATATGGCTCAGGGTTAGAGGTTAGCTCTGAGCCACAGCAAAAAACTGCCAACCTTGCTGAGCTCCTAAAGAGAGCACATCCCATCTGATCATTGATACTCAACTATCTCCCCAGTATTCCCTACACAAAACCCAAATCCACACATCCCTGATAGGCACGAGTGCCATACAACTAGAACAGAGTGGCTAGGACATAGAACAGCATCCAGAAAGAGCAAAGGGAACAATTATCAGTTGCTGTTTAAGAACCAGCTTGCTTTCTGTCAACCTAGCTGTGTTAGATATTCCAGCAGTGTTGGGTTGGCTGCATTTCTGGGAGAAGCTGGAAAAGATGCTGCTTCCTGTAAATTGAGAGGTGTGTTTGAAAATATTGCCTCCAAATTCTCTACCAGAGCACACAAAGAAAGAAAGGCAAGCAACTGAACTGGGATCAGCCCCTACTCCAATCTCCTTGTTAGGTCTGGGAGAGCAGGTCCACAGTCCCCACATGTCAGAATTGATTAATGTAGAACTTTAAGAATGGCAGGGTAGACAGGCTTCTTGTCTCCTTCCCTGACCATGAGCAGGATTGCTTGCTCAGGAGACCTTTGCAGATATGCAACTGTAGAGAGGCAGCCTTAGCAGAATTCCATTTTCACTGGATGCAGCTAAGTCTATCCAACACACTAAAAACAGAATATGCTCAAAGCATTACTGTCCAGCTCCATTCAGGCAATTTGGCAAGTCCTAGAAATTTATGCAGCAGTATCACAATCAAAAAGGGACAAAGGAAAAAAAGCACTTACACTGGAGCTCATGTGTCTGACCACATCTCGAGGGACCACTGAGCGATCTTCAAGCTTCAGCTAAGGAGAGAGAAGAGAGATTGGCTTTAGTGATGACCCCAGATGACACAGTCAGAAATAACATGACAAATACAAATGCACAGCATCCCAACCCTCCACACTGAGGAGGATTGCAGCAGAGGATGCTGAGGTACTGCCATACAGAGTTAATCCCCTTGGCACAGTTGGAAAACCCAGTTGACAGATCTGACATCAACAACGAGGGGATCCATCCATGACTGTGCTCTAAGTCAGCAGACACATCAAAAAGGGTGCAGACATTGACTCATTCATCCCCTCAAGTCTTCCTCTCCTCTTCCTGCACCACACATCATTTCCTACCCACATCCAGTCTATGCAGTAGAGAAGACAGCAGACACACGAAGCAGCACATCACACCACAGTTCTGTGCCTCTCCTGCACGCTTTTCACCCAAGATACTCCCAAATATCTGTGCAAAGTCTGTTTAGCCTGGAACACATAAAGCATTCCTGTACAGTAAGAATTACCCCTGGCAGGGGAATAAGTGACAAATCCACTGCAGCAAGCACTTGTCTTGAAAAAAAATAGGAAAAGAAACGGCTGTTTCTGCACTTAGAAGCTCTCAGGTACATGCAGGTAACAAAACATCAGTAAGACCATGGATAAAGTCAAAGCACTGCTTATTCCAGCTCCTGCTAAAGCACTTGCTGGCAAAGAGCTCATTCTGGCAACAAAGGATGTGTCTGGACCATCCTTATGTACCCTACAGCAGCTCACACAGATCTGTGGGCACCTGGAGTGCTCCTGGAAAGGGAATGTATCACTTCATGAATGTCCAGTGATTCCTTCCAAAAGTGGCCCTTTATCCAACTGTTTCAGTGACCTCAAGACTACTTGCAGGCTACTTCAATAAGTGTTTTCAACAAGCTTAAAACTACAAAATGCAGCTGCCATTGAATACACTGGAATGCCATGGAATACACTGGACTGGAATGCTACATGAGGGATGATGTCCTACTGGAGGCCACAAGACTGAACTCCAATTCCAGGCTTGCTCAACCTCCCAGTAATTCAGGTAAAATCTCCCTCTGCGGAACAGGGAGAAGACTCATTTGCATTTCAGTGGTCCAGAAGTTATTTGCATTGGTACATCACTCCGAGCCCTGCAAACACACTAATTACACACCCTGTGCTCTGGGAAGTGCCACATGAATGCACCATCAGGGACAGAGCCTCTCTCACGTGTCACTTTCAGAACCAACTGTGCCACTGCTGCTGCATTCCTGGCTTTTCCTTGTTCATCCCCAGCCTCAACTCCACTGTGCTTTGTCAGCATTTCATCCTAACCCACTCCCTGGCTTACAGCCTACTTTACTAAATTAGACAAATCTATAATCCAAGAACAGGATCTGGAATCAGACCAAAGACCTGAGTATTTATCATCCCCTTGACTGCGTGTTTCAGTAAGAGAGGAAGAGACCCAGCCAGGCAGGCTTTTAGACCCAACTTCTGGAGTCAGAACCACACCAGAGTGGGAAACCTGAAGCCCACAGCACATTTCCAGATTGTAAAAGTGTTTTCACTGCCTCCCACATCCCACTGCAGTATATAGATAGACATCAATTTTATACAGCTTTCTAAAATTATTGTTAAATTAAGTACTGTACAGGCAGCTTTTTAAAATCCAGAATCAGGCTGCAACATTCCAGTAAGTACTCAAACATGAGCAGCAGTTTGGGTATTGTAACTGAAGTATTCACACTGCACAGCTCCAAGTGTATGATGATACTTTCATTTCAAAATGCATTATGGGCTTAAATTGATGCATTGTGTTTCAACACATCACTGCTCCCTCTGCAGCCTCTGAAGAACCCAGATCATCAAGATGATTCGATGTTACCCAGCAGCAGCAGTATCTTTGGATTAGTCAATGCTGGTAAATCACAGAAACTGTAAATAAGCAGCATTCCTATTTTGTGATGCTTCCTCAAGAATATAATCATACAAATTCTTCCCAAAGCAAAGCATAAAACCTTGTCTACAGGGGGACTATATTTAACCTATTTTCAGTCTCTTGGCTTTTAAAGGCAGCACTATTTTCAGCTGCATGTGCCAGACCCACCTGTCTCAGTCGCAAGGAAAAGCAAGAAAAGGAGCAGGCAGAATGCCAGCATCAACAATAAATACTTCACAGGTCTGTCATGTCATAAAAGACTCAAAACCCACAAGAAACCCGACCAGAGTAAGCTGGAATGGCTGTTGATGAACAACAACAGTTCAATCATTCCTCCTGTCCTCTGTCACACCCGGAGCAATGTGATCATCAGCCGATGGACAGCCACCTCCCCCAGCACCGAGGGAATTCTGTTGCAGAAGCACTTTTAAAATAGGTCCCCACCGCTCAGTTGCTATATTTACCTCTATGAAAGTCAGTATTAACAAGTTCAGTTCTAGCCATGTGCCTCAGTAATAGCCTCAAGAATGAGAAATAAGTTTCCCAGAGATGCTCTGAGGAATTCTAGGTTCCTGTATGCCAAACTGAGCTCCCTCCTCAAATGAAAGATGTGTTCTGTGTCGCTTTTTTAAAAAACAAACTCACTTTTACAGATGTTAAATAAGGCAAACCAAAGACACTCATCACTACACACACATTTTGCCCTGGTGAAGAGGGATGACACACACAGCCTGGGGTCACTGTTGTTCCTTAGGGCCTTGACTGCAAAAACAAGTGGCAGAATAGCTTGGCCCCTATTTATTTCCTTTGCTATTCAGATGCTCTGTTGGTGCTCAGCACTGAATCAATGCCTGAGCTCCACAGCAAATTTACTCATCAAAAGGCAGCAGCTGCAATCTGAAGAACACCTGATACTTTAGCAGGGCTGATGATGCTCTCAAACCACTAACAGCAGGAGGGGCACACAAATTTTGATTTTCTGCATAGAGAACAAGCATCAGCAGGACCACATTCCCCTTCTCAGCTGAGTCATCTCACCTCAAATGAAATAAAGGAGCCATCAGGGCTCATACCTGGAACTGGGCAGACTGGGAGAGGACAGACATTTCCACTGAGCATTAACTCATTAAGTGTTGGGAGCTTTGTGCTTTCATGGACTTGCCCGATTTGTTATTACAAACTTGTCATTTGAAACAAAATCTTTGTGGTTTGGGTTTTGTTTGTTTAAACTAATAGCAGAGGTTGAGAGAGATGTCTGACAGAAAGCTAGATCCTCACTTTAGCAAACAATTTGGCAGTGAGGTGCAAACATCCCCAGGCAGGGGTGGGCCAAACTCCTACTGTGACTCTGGGTTTAATCTCTCAACTGCATTGAACAAATGCAAGATATGGTGCCAATTTTCCTCTCCAACAACTCCCTGCTGACAAGAGCTCAAAACCAGAGCAATTTACTTTGATGATCTGGACTAGCCACAAATGCCAAGTATTGTGGCAGGTAAATAAGCAACAAACACTTCAAGCTCGCTGGCAAATAATAAAGGAATTGCTGGTATTGATACAGAGACAACCAGCTCTGGGTGGTGTGTATCCAAACAAACTGAGTACTGGAGATACTCAGTAGTGGCATAAATCCCAGATCTCTCTCTGCATACCTAAAGCAGAGCTTAAATTCATTAATTAGCAGATTAGGTTTGCTTGTAACATCATTGGTACCCAACAGTGGACAAAACCACTTCCACACAGGCTCCAGCTACCAGAGTCACCCTCCCTCAGAATGTTTTATCCAACAAAGGAGAAAGGACAACTCATTCATGCTTACTGCCAGCACATCTCTTCCTTTCCTATTGTCACACAATTTCTTTCCTGCATGGGGCAGGAGTCCTGGTATTTCACTTGAGGAGAAACACAAGGTGGTAATTCTGCATGCAAATAGCATTTGGATTTGCTACTGCCACACTGCACTCCAGGTAGACAATATTGTCACAGGAGGTAGGGATGAAAAAACTGTCCCCTGCTCCAAACATCCCAAGAACAGAAGCTAGGGACAAGTTAAAACACAGATGGGAGCCTGAATGCATCAACACACAATCCTCGGTTGTTCGGTCTCAGATATGCCAGGACACACCTTCCTTCAGAGGAGCTGACTGCTGAGCTGCCTTGCAGGTTCAACCCACACTGGGACACCAGGAAGGACAGGAGACCTTGGCACTGTGACTCAACACTCAGCTACACACGGATTTGGGGGCACACCTTTCAGCTGGATCAGCCATGGTTTTACAGCTGCATTTCTGCTCAGCTGCCCAGAAAAAGAGAGCACACCCTGGCTGTGGCAGAGGGCACCTGATCCAGCATAATGCCTGCCAATGCCAACTCCCAGTGTTAAAGTTCATGCTCGGTCACTGCTGTCTCAGATTCTGGAGCAGCTGAGGAAGCTGGGGAGGCTCAGCCTCGAGAAAAGCAGGCTCAGGGGGAACCTCTTCCTTTTCTGTAACTCCCTGATAGAAGCTATAGCCAGGTGAGGGTCAGGCTCTTCTCCCAAGACAAGAGGAAGCAGCCTCACATTGTGCCAGGAGAGATTTAGACTGGACATTAGGAAACATTTCTTCATTAAAAGGGCTGTCAAGCACTCGAACAGGCTGCCCAGGGAAGTGGCAGTCACTTGTAAATCCTGGAGGGATTTAGAAGATGTGCAGCTGTAGCACTTGGGGACATCATTTAGTGGTGGGTGTGGCAATGCTGAGTTAATGGTTGAACTCAAAGGTCTCTTCCAACCTGAAGAATTGGCATGTCTGACCAATAAAAGTTACATTTGCCCAAGGGAGATAGTGTGATCCCACAGCCTCTACCTCCAACACAATCACTGTGGTGACAACATCACTTTCTATTCCAGACATATTCTGAATTTCATCCTCCAAAACAAGAGCTCTGGAAATAAGCTCGTACAGATGGAGGAGAAAAAGCAGCACACACACACACACTGGTATTTGCTTATAAAAACGAAAGTACAAGGCACCACAAGAAAAAATGGAGGAAAGCACAATGCTGGATATGAAACTCTGCACATTGACCTGAACTGCTGTATGAC